TTATTTCATAAACAACTTATTTCATTAACAGCTTATTTTACTAATATTATTATTATTAAATTAGCCGTTAATAAAATATATTGCTTATGAAATAAGATTATCTAAGAATTGGTTGTTTATAAAACAAACAATATAAGTAAATTGATTGTAGGTAAAGTATTGTTTCTATAAATGAGTGTAATGCATAGAGAAATGACCTAATAATCATTACATTTATAAAATAATTAATTTGTATGTGCTTTTTGAAGCTGAGTTTGTTAAAATTGTTTAACCATTTCTTCATTCAATTTGAATCAACTAGCCAATCCGATGAATGTTTATTTTTACTAATTAATCTGTATCATTCGGAGCAGTAAGTTGACTTAGTTAACGAACTTTATATTTATCTGAGTGACTCTTATACAAGTACTATCTCTATATTAAGTAAAGACTATTTTTTATTTTTTATTACAATGAAGAACTCAATTAACTAAATTATTATCGACTAATTAAAAGCTGATTTTTAATACATTAATTTAGATACTTAGTTAGTAAAGAATATTTTATAATATTTTTTTAAATTTAGAGATTCAAAAATAATTATTACAAATAAGTATAGAGTATCTATTTATTGTTATTACTTTGCAAAAATCTTTAATTTTTGAATCATAATAAAATATTCTAAATATAGTATAAATTATTAATAATTAGTTTCTTACTTCGTAGCACTATTAATAAGGTATTAATAAAGTTTTTTGAAAAAACTACTAATTTTTTATTTTTGTTAAAACTCTTAATACTTTATTAATAGTACTACGTAGTAAGAAACTAAATTTGCAATTTACTATGAATTTTTTCTTTAGTAATTTAATTTATACTCGATTAAAATATTTTGTTACTATTATAAAATATATAAAATCTTTACAAATAGATAATACATAGAATCTATTAGGTTTAATCACTAGTATAATATAATACATATGTATTTAGATTTTATTTATATATAATTTAGAATATATATAATAATATTTTAAATTATTTTTAAATATAATAGGCTTGATATAATAAATACTATATATACTACTCTAATTATATCAATACTTTTTAAAACAAAGAAATTATTGATATATTTAAGTATAATTACTTATATATATGCATATTAGTAATTTAAATTTTATTTTTATATAGGTTCAATTAAAATTAAGCCAACTTTTATTTATCAATTCAAAAATCCTCGTATTCTTCAAGGTGTGAATAAAGATGAACTTCCTGTATTTTATTACAATAATTCAACTGCCTGGATGACTTCTTTAATTTGGAATGAATTTTTAACTCAATTAAATCAGCAAATGGTTAATGAAAATAGGTTTATTATTTTGCTTTATGATCAAGCATCGGTACATTGTAGTGATATATGTTTAACTTCAAGAGATTTATCGAATATTACATTACATAAGTTACCTGAATATACTACAGCACACTTACAGCCATTAGATGCAGGTATTATACATTCTTTTAAGGTATTTAAATTTAAATTATAATTTAAATAATTTATAGTATTTAACAAAATTTAAAAAATTTAAATATAATGAATAATATATCCACTGATTTGAAAAATATATAAAAGTATTTTAGAAGAAATATTAATATTAAGTAAACCTCTTTTTGTATTAATTAAAGTTGTTTATTAGGTCTTTTTAGTTTTAATAGTAGTAAAATCATTAAAATCAGACCAGTGATTCTTATTTAAAAGTGAATTGAAGATTATAAAATTTAGGTATAAATATTTTAAAAACTACTAGTCTGATTTTAATGATTTTACTACCATTAGAACTA